AATATAAATATAACCTACTCTTAAGCATAGTAAGTATAGCCTAAATTACCGTGAGTTTCTAATGAAACCAGAAGATTGCACTGACATAACTCCGACCCAAGAGCTTCTATTAGTTGAGCCTAGATGCCCAAAGCTTCGCTAAACTAAGATACTTTGAATTCTGAAGGAAGACCTCAAAGTCCGCCCTTAGAAGTTGAGAGAAAGCTTAGAAATAATGTGGAGAAAGAATGAGTAGATGAAAGTAATTTATAGGCAAATTTGTGATGCACACCATGCACATGGTCGGGAGTGCTAACTTGGCGTCTTTTAGGTGGTGATATGTGTCGGTAAGCTGGTGGTGTGTCAACGTGCCGTGCACCTTTTCGGTGTGCGTGCACACACACGCAATTTTGCAGATTTTAAAAAATTCATATTTTCTTCATACGAGCTCAATTTTCGACATTCTTTATATCCACATGTAGCTATTGACGAGATATCCAACTTTCATTTTGACTCCTTTGGCTAATTTTTACCTTATTTTTAAAGCTATATTTATAACAGGTTTAGACTTTAAAGCCCATACAAAAATCATAAATCTCTCATATGATATTCGTTCTTGACTACCTTTATATCGACGGATATGTATTGACGAGATCTTCAACTCTTATTTAGATTGTTTTTCCTAACAGTCAACCAATCTTAATTTCAATTTCTGTGTCGCACACTGCTACGCTGAAACTTCTGAAAATCATAACTTCCTCATGCGAAGTCAGATTTTGATGTTCACTTTATGCACAAGTTTTCTTTTTTGATTACTACGACTTTCATCAAGACTATTTATCCTAAATAATGATTTATCAAAACGTTTATTTACGTAATTGGTCGTTTATACTATAACGCGACAATGGGATGTTACAACTGATATTGCCATATTTATACATATTTTTAGGCAATATTTTAATGCATTTTGATTAATATTTTGGTTATTTGCAAAGACATATGGTACTTATGAGATTGAATTATATTTTGCATCCAAAAGGAACTGTCTTGAAGAAAAAGGATCAAAAGTGACAAGAATTGAAACTTTAGAGGGTTGGATCTTAAAAGGAGAAGATTCTAGCTAAAAAGTCAATCTTACAGCATGAGGAATCACTTCTCACGATGTGAGCCTGAAGATTCTAGAAGATTGACATTCAGAAGGTCAGAGTATGTGTTCGAAAGGGATGACAACCAAGCTCACGACGTGATATGCCATATCTCACGACGTGAGAAGCATAATTACCAAAACTATATATTACTTTGCTCTTATGAATTAAGAAGACTATGAGGGTTTAAAAAGAGATTTTCGGTGGAAACGTAAACTGAGAAACCAAGTCTAAATCATCGAAGGAAGGAGAGTTGATTAATGATCGAGAGATTGAAGAACATAATCGTTACTTTGATTTGGTACACTTTGATGACGTCTTTATTTATTGGATTTAAGTTTGCAATTTCAGCCATGAGTAGCTGAATTAGTTTAGTTAATTAGGGATTTTAATAGTTGGTCATGTTCTTGTGTTTAATTATTACTACCTAGCATGTTAATATTTGATACTTTAATATCTTGAATTTATGTTCTTTGTAGCTTAGTGGCCATTAAATTACACGAACTTGACTTCTAGTGCTTTACTGACCATTGAATTGCTAGAGCCAGGATCGACCAAATCTTAGATAAGTAATTGAAGTAATTGAATTTAGCTATGCTGGAGAACATAAATTATGACCATTATTGGTGTTTGTTAAATAAATCTTACATAGCCCCATCTATAATCAATAACTTATTCTATGTTTGCTTATGTATGACCATACATAGTTTTACATGAACTAGTGAAACATTAGTCAATTTGTACATAAATTACTAATAATAAAATATTTAGTAACCAACTTTAATAATTCATAGTTAGTAGCTAACCATAGATGAGAAGTGGATTCGAACTAAACATAAGTGTTTTTAGTAATTGATTGAATTTTATAGTTAATTGATTAAGTTTGTGTGAACTTACAAAATCAGATAAAAAAAACCCAATTAACTTTGGCTTGTGTTAGGTTAACTTTTATTAGTTAAATTAGTTAATTAAATTTGTTACCTGTGTTCGATACCCGATTGTTAGTGCTATATTATTTGCAAAAATGTACACTGCCTAAAATCGTAATAGTTAGTTAAATAGTTGGTAAAACTCACAAGTAGGTATAATAATTACGTATTAAAAACTCTCCCCAACTTATAAAGATTTCGTTCCCGGAATCCTACTCCTAGTGCACCTTAAGATAATTCATATATTATCCTACCAGGGTCTCACGAGACGAACTTAGGATCTTGCTGATGTTGCTGCATCGAATTCACCCATTCGTACTTATTCGGCCATAAAACTTTGTTTTCTGCCTTATATGTACTCCCATAATCCTCGCAAAGTCTTCCAAAACCAAGAATTCATTGGTCTGTACTTCTAAAACTTACATGTTAGGTTTGACGATCGGCTAGACTTGAAATGTCAATTGGTTATGAGGTGATTAACTATGGAATTTTATCTATGACCTACTAACTGAATCCATTTTCAGTAAAACGCCTATAAAAGAGTTACACTATAAAAGATTTACCTAGTTCAGGTGTTCCAACATCCTGAATTTTAACCAAAACTATTATAACAGGTTTATAGGCTTGAAAACACTAGAACCAATACTCTAATTTATGCAACAGACTCAAAATAAGGCTTGTTTATCTTCCAGCCTACTATGTTATTTGAACTCTAGGTAGCATAATATCCCCCTTGCAAGGCTCTAACTACATTGCCTATATCGAGGTACAACTATGATTCGAGTAATTCATTCACGGTACGTTATGGCACTTATCAAACTACTAGGATTTCGATGCTAGATCGCTCTTGTCATCATCCTCACCCCCCCCCCCCATGCCCCAAGTCTTGAAGGCTCGTGATCAACCCTTTGGTGTCTTAAAGATTCAACCATTGGCAGATTGTCCTAAAGGAAACTAGTCATCCTTCTTCCTTGATATCTACTTCTCACAACATATCTTTTCTTTTTAACTTTTGATACTAAAATTGATTTAGAGGTCCCTAATATATACTGTACAAGTGCTAAAGTCTAACTGTCGCCCTATGTTAACCTATAAACATTTGAAATTCGATCCTATTTTTCTATTAGTTCATACGCTTATTGACTTAAGGAATAACTAAACTAATCATGTAGTCTACCCTGAAGCCTAAAATTACAATAAAGTATTACCATATGCTTAATTAGCATAGTCCTTTTCGAATGGTTTCCTCATATGGTTCTCTAATAATACTTATGAAAACACTCTATCCTTTTGATGTCGATCCCACTGTTAAAATCCTTTGTCATGGTTTAACTAAATTCTTACTATGGTTGAAATCAAATCTCTAGGTCTGGTGTACCCCTTGAGTACTTGACGCTCTCTATGGAAAACTATACTTACCTATTGGATTCCTAATCCTCTACTGCGAGGATAAATCCTACATCCTCCAAGGCACGGACCTATTTGGTTTTCTTGTCTATCTAAGCTGCACCTGAGAATTTTTCAAAATATTGTAAATCAATTATGTGGAATGAAATACTAACCTTTTCTCGAGAAGCAAGAAACTTATAGCCTATGGGTAATTTAACATAATACTTCCTTCTTTTGTTACCCGCTTAACGAAAATGAAACTAACAACTTCCACCTACTTGGGTCACTACTCTCATGTACCTTAACATCAAAATCGAAAGTCGAACTACTTTTCTCACTTTCTCCTTAAGAGTTGGTTCTCCCCCACTTGGTTTTGTCTCATCATCTGCTGCTACTCGTAACTATCCAAAGTATAAGTTGGCCTTGCCTACATAAAATGTAACTCCTTTTGACTTTGAAGAAACTCATGGTTGTCATATGTAATGATCTTCAACATTCTCTTCAAAGTCATACTATTTGTTCCTACTGAAAGGGGCCTTCTTTCAATGTACGACCAAAACATGATAAGGTCATAACAAGCATAATTTTATCTTGAAACGCACTAACGCACACATATAACTAATTAGTATAAGGGGGTATCCTAACGTAATTGAACTACTAACAACTGGTGAATCTATATGCCCAATAATCATTATTGAGTGATATTGCTAATAACATATGATCATACAGGGTCACACCTTTATCAATTTGGCACATTTTGTATATATATATATATTATTAATATGATTATTAATAAGTAATATCAATTCTTGTACATAATTAGGGAATACTTTTTGTTTTATGAAAATAATAATTAATAGAGAATAACTAG